GGAACGTCGAAGGTACGGCATCATTTCGCACATTCACTTTCCCAAGCTGACGGAGTACTTCTTACAGAGCTCAAAGAGCTTCAAAGCACGTACCAGGCGCTCGTATTGGAGGTGCAAGGGATCCTCGATATGCATGTCCTCCATCCGTCGCAGCTCAAGGAGAAGGAGGAGAAGGAGCCTGCTAGGGTGTCTCCGACGTTCTTCAAGCGTCATCGGTCCAACACGTCGTCCTCCAACAATGGACCTCCACCCACCGCCCAGCAGCAGGCGCAGCAAGCATACAAGCAGCTCGCCTCCGCGTTCTACACCATCAACTCCAAGTACCGCATCTCATGGGAGTGCGCGGAACTGCTCATTGAGCTTGGTGGCGGCGGTAGTGCCTCACCGCCGAGCACCAGCACGTCGGCCCCTGCGATGCAATCGGCGGGCGCGAGCGATGTCATACGCAGCGTGAAGACCAAGCGCGAACGGGCGATTACTCTCCAGGACGAAGCTCACGTCCCTCCGTCTCCTGGGCCACTGCAGACGACCCACAGCGTCGGCGCCGTTCCAAGCGGTCCGCCAATGGCGAGCCCGCCAAGCAACCTCGGGTGGCGTGCGTCGACCGGGCGGAACGACCTCAGCCAGCGGCAGCTCCTCCTCCTCAAGGAGATGCTCCATTCAGGGCCTGGCGGGCCCGACGAGTCGTTTGCGGAGGATATACCGGAGGAGGTCGTGGCGGCGGTGGGCATCACGGGGAGCACGAATACGGTGAACCGGGAATGGCGGTGGGGTGACGCGATGAACAGCACCGTTACCTTACCGTCCGAGGAGAGCACTGGGCAGGACGGAAAGCCGAAGGAGAAGAAGAGGCGGAGCAGTCGGATGCGGATGAGTGGGATTCGGGATATGCTGAGGTCGTTGACTAAGGGCGGCACGCCCCCTCCGGTACCGGTGTCGACGGCGTCCGGTAGCACGGAATCGTCTGCGGACCTACACCAGCAGCACTTGTATCAGCATCGGCAAGTGGCCACGAACGGGAAAGGTCGGCGACGGGCGAAGACGAGCTCAGGCCCCGAGTCTGTCTCTGTTCGCTCCAATCATCGACCGCTCTCGCCATTCGAGCACCCGTCTCTCAAGTCGGCTTCCCCTCGCCGGCCGTCCCTCGCGTCTATCTTCCGGATCGGGAAAAACAATAAGACCCCACCCCCATCTGCCGCTGCTGATGTTTCGCTTGAGAACGCGCAGGACGACCCCGCGGAGCTTTATCCCACTTTTAGCGGCATCTCGGGCGGTCGCGAGAGTGCGAGCAACAGCACCGGCGACGAAGAGGAGGATTGGGATCGCATGGAGGATTCTGCATCCGACGTGGAGGCCGCGGTGGCTGCTGCACGGCGAGGTGGCTCGACAATCCGCGGGCGATCGCCCTACCTCCACTCTTCGCTCCTCACTTCGGGACGTCCGACCACCCCCTTACGATCCCCCAGCGGCTCGCGGACTTCAATCCACCTCGATGCCTCGAGCGGTGCTCCCGCGCGCGCGACCCGTCTTTCCAATGTCGAAGAGCATGCCGACCCTCAGGGGACATCGAAGGCGGACAGCCCTTCGCGGCTCTTTTCCCGCTCCCGGCGAGGTGGGAAGACGGGCTCGGTCCGCTCGATGCCTCCTGCGACGCTGCCTGATCCCAAGCTCGCCATGACGCCGGAGAACATCAAGCCACTGCTGGAGAACGCGCGAGAGGTGTATGCGCGACTCAATGACTGCATCGCGGAGATTCGAGCATTGCTAGCGGCGAGCGGCGCGGCTGTAGAGAAAACAGAAAAATAACACATCACCACCATCCTGCATTATTTATCTCACTCTCTCTCTCGCATCGCATCGCATCGCTCTGCATTTGCTCTCACTCTCACTCAATCGCGCATCCATTCATCGTCTCTCATTACTCTGGCACTTCCTCGTCTTGCATCTCTCCTTTTTTCATCTCTTTTTATTACCTTGTCGTTCCTTTTGGCTATAAAATTCTTCGAAATCTCAGACTTGTATGTATCAACTCTCAAGGTCTTGGGCCCAATGCGTGTCGTGTGGGGATAATCGTTGGCCGCGATGGAGGTCCATCAATTTGTCATGCAGTCTCCTGTTTAGGTCTCTCCGACTTCAGACCAACTACAACTTGAACGGTGAAGATACCCTCAAGCGCAACCGTACATCCCTCATCCGCAGGAATCAAGTTCTTAGGCCACCGCTTGGCTTTCTTCTGAGTTACCGTTGGCAGTTGGCCGCCGTTCAAGCCCGTCTTAGACTCTTAGACCGCCTTTCGGCCGAGGTATACGGCATTCGCAACAAAATGAATGTCTGGGCAGTGGGCAGCGGCGGGCACATCCGGAAACCGTCCCACTCTCGGGCTGTTGACTTGGTCTGGACGGTGTATCCTCAACTAGCCACGCAATGGAGCTCGGGGCGTGGTAGACCTTCTCCCGCGTCTCCTTGATAGCTGGGTACTCGGTGACGATATCCGTGGGCCAGTCTAACCATGCACACACCTGTGTACACCAACACTCGTGTTTGTGGATCTTCTTCGGTTCTCCGCGTTATCGTCCGTCGAAAGCGGCCTGTTTAAAAGCCTTGCATAAAAGCTTATTCGACCGAGTTGCTCGCTATCGTGCCATCTCCCTTGCTTTCATCTTGCACCTCACTCTACGATGGCTCTGTATTCGTCGCAACTTCTCAAAACAGCTACAACACATCGATATTCGCTCTTTGGCGTTCTCGACAAGGTCTGGTGTTCCTTCACGGAAATAGTAACCAACACAGGATGGCGTGCATTGCATCCCATACTGCGGGGCAACATTCTCAGGTAGCACCTTGAATCTCGTATCCTTAAATCTCGTATCATTCTTCTCTCTAACTAAATTGTCCCAGTGTTCTAGGAAATATTACAGTGGGGAGGATCACGTTGATCACTGGAGCTGATACGCACGATTTCGGAGACGCTAATGCAGCGCTTCATGCAACACTTCACGTCAAGTCCGATGCATTTTGGATGCGAGTCGCCCTCTTTACGGACCTGGGGCTTGCGGAAGCCTTCATGTATGGTGACGGTGACGATAATCTCTTCCCGCCCCATGCGCCCACTGTTAACGCCATTCGAAGTTGATTGTGAAGATACTTCTACCTTGATCCAGGTATTTCAAGTTGCCGGACACATCACTTGGGTACTGAAATACATTAGATTCTGATTGCCAACCGGCGTGAGCTCACAGCGGGCACCGACACGATACTGGCGTCAGTACTCGCGAAAGGACGGGCGCTGACGAGTAGCAAGTTCATCGGCAGTCTTGCTAATTCGCGAGCGAATATCTCTGCTCATTACGATCTCGGCAACACACTGTCAGCGACCGAGGCTCTAGTTCCGGTTCGAGAAGCACTGATATCCAGCCTGACGTTAGATTTTCGGCCTTTTTGAGCGAAGACATGAATTATTCATCCGCCATATTCCAAGATTTGAATGAAGATTTGGATCCAGCTGTCTCTATGTGCGAGTCGTTGGAAGATGCGCAGATACGCAAAGTCAAGTAAGTCAATGGTTTTCTATGCAGTGGGCCCAAATTTATTTTCGAACAGATTAGTCCTGAAAAAAGCTAAGATTTTACCCGGGCAGCGCGTTCTGGAGATTGGTACGTTTACAATTTGCCGTTCACTGGAGAACTGTGTTTTGAAATTCGGTGAAAGGCACGGGCTGGGGTTGTCTGTCGATTCTCGCCGCAAAAACATTCAACTGCACCGTTGAGACTGTCACGCTTTCTTCCAATCAGGCCGCTATGGCCCGAAAGCGCATCGAGGACGCGAAACTCTCGGACCGGATCACCGTCCATTGCATGGACTTTCGAGAATGCAAGCTTAAGCCAGAGTGGGCCGGCTCATTTGACAAGTTTATCAGCGTCGAGATGATCGAACACGTCGGCAAGGAGTTCTTCACCGAATACTGGGCCGTAGCAGACTGGGTGCTCAAATCTGACACCGGTGTCGGCGTCGTACAGGGGATATCCATCCCAGAAGCGCGTAAGATCATCGTTCGCTCTTATTCGACATGCGCATGACCTGGGTTCCAGGGGTGGCATCGTACAATGCTAACGTTGACTTTGTGCAGAAATGGGTAAGTGCTAGCATTCCTTTCATTAGTGATCCGTTCTTGACCGAGGCTCGACCGGTCTCCCAATAGAGTGGGTTGCCGATCAGAGAACGTGTATCAGCGCTGACATTTCTGCAGTCTTTCCCGGAGGGTATCTCCCCAGCTTTAGTTTCATCGTGCAAACTCTGAATGAGGGAAGTGTGGGCCGCCTTGTGGTCGACTCTGTCTTGAATATCGGTCCGCACTATGCACGAACATTGCGCGAATGGAAGCGCAGGTTCCTGGCCAACTGGGAAGGCATCGTTGCGAAGGCGCTAATCGAACAGTATAATTTGGACGCTAAGGGCTTGGATATTTTCAAACGTAAATGGATTTGTGCGTATCTCCAGCATTTCTCGAATCGAGTCTGATCGACGCAATAGATTATTTGTGAGCAGTTCAGACTGGTCACTTGTTGACAGGCGCAAATAATGTACACTCTAGCGACTATTGCGAAGCTGCGTTCAAGACGCGGACACTCGGCGATCATCTTGTTACATTCACGCGGGAGGGGAACATTGCATTTGGCTGCGATGTTGAGTGTAAATGTCTATAGAGCGAGGGCTACAGCTACGACACGTAGTGACCCATAGTCCTAACGAAGGGCCAAAGAGTCGGAATATTCAAGTAGTGAAGCAAATATATCGCACTGTCGGCTGTTGGGAGTCATGGTCAATGAGAATGAGCATTAAACATCAGCGTTCAATGAAGGACGGTGTCCAGTGACGGACGAACAGAGCCACAGCGTTGTGGATAATTCCTGCGATATGGAAGTTCAGGTCGCAAGTTGGAGACGTGCACAAGCCTCCCGTAATGCCACCATGTGTTGATGCACAGCTGTAATTCCTTTATCGGGCACATGGTGTAGTTGGTTATCACGCTCGCTTAGCAGTGGAATTAATTCCGGACCTGCGAGAGGTGTTGGGTTCAATTCCCAATGTGTCCATTGTTTTGCATCTTTCACGCCGTTCTCTTTTTTTTTTTTCCCTGGCCTCAATTGTATTTCAAACGTCGGCCAAAATGCACTTCTCAATTAAATGGGTTGTATGTACTAAAAGCCGTCTGATTTGTGGCTGGGCTATCAGAAATATTTCTGACTTTTTTTCTGTCCTCTTACTTATCTGGACAACCGTTCCAAACATACATCTCGCGTACCTCAAGTCTGCAGAGAAAACAACGGCTCCCGTAAATAATCGCACCTCGCTTCGGTCCTGATTTGCCTCTCGAACAATACTCCAACCGACTAACGGGTACGACCCGTTCGATTCGAGGCTAAGCTCAGTGGGCCGTACAAGTTCAGTACAACACTCCTTTTCACGTCTCATTATTATATGGCTCTGCCTCAGTGCAAATATTGGGCCTGAAGATCGATCTGTGCTTCGAATCCGTATGTACCGGGCAATAATCGGTTCCGTTAGGAGCCAAATAAACCCAATCACGAACTCCTTTCTTTCCATTGCCCACACCCATGGAGCAGCCCTTCGATTTGAAGCAAGTGGCCCAAGTGTTCAATGACGCTGTTGCTTCAATCAGGGACGATACGCCTGACATGGAACCGCAAGCCATTGCCTGGCTGAAGAAGGCCCGGTATAAAGTTATATGCGACCTCAAAAAAGCGTACGTTTCCGTCACTCGGCGGTACTTGTCTTTATCCATATTCATATTTATTCTCAGCTACCACGACCTTGAGAAGTCGCGCGACGCACCGTTGTTGCGGCCCGCCTGGGCAGTGGACCCCTCCGAAACGCTTTACCTCATGACCGAAGACCTCCCCAAACTGTTGGAACCATATCGACAAGCCATAGGCGATAATCTTCGGCAATTGCTCACAGACTGTGGTTTCCAGCACTTTACTCTCGTCTCGCGGCATTTGTCCATGCAAATCACTTTTCCGGCGCAGCTAGCTCAGGCAGCCCCGACCGCAGGTCAACCCCGAGCGCTCTACATCCAGGACGAATTTACTGCATCGAATTTCGGCCGCCTCATCGTCGATGCACGCCGAGCGAACCCCGTAAACGACAGTCACGCTGAAGCAGGCGTGGTACATGTGGAGCACAAACAGGAAGGACCTGAGGGTGCTGAAGGTGGCGACGAAAGTGACGGTGCAGGAGTTTTGCAGTCAATGACAAGCAGCAGCCTCGTTGCGACTCTATGGTCCAACTGCTCTAACCTGCTACTGGCATTTACGGTCAGCTGCCTACTTGGAATCCTGCTTGGCCGGAATGTCTAAGCTTCGACGATCTTCCTTGCTGCAATCGGTATGTATAACGTATAGCGGGCGGGTTTACTGTTATCATTTTTTTCTACGCCATACTGTAGAATCGGACTTCGTTGAAAGCAAGTCGCTATTGTCCCTGAATAAACCTCATTGTAGCGTCGTAGTTTGCCGGTTGGGTTGTTCGCAGCTGAGATCCGCCGAGCCCGACCGTATTCCTTCCCCCAGATGAACGATTCCCCTGTGGATTTGTGATCTGAGGTTGAACTCCCGAATTCAGTTGGAAATTGACAGTCTTGGAGTTTACCGTGCTCTGGGCTGTAGCACCAAAAGTTTGGCGCAAAGCGTGGTTGCCCTCTAAGCTTCAACAAATCTTCCCTGGGATTTATCCCAAGGCGCAGACTGCAGTACTAGAGCAGTAGCCTGTCCGATTCGCTTCAAGAGGGACACCGGGTTGGATGGAAGGGATCCGTGAATTGCACAGATGGCACAATTTCTAACATTCACACCACAGTTATGTAGATTACATGCATTGCAGTAGGGCCATCAGGCAATATGACCATCGAGACAAGATCAGGGACTTCAAGGAATTGTCAAGGAACGAACTTCTTTGAAAAAGAAATTTTGACACGACCGGGGATCAAGCCTTACGATATTTTGCAGCAGGGAATAGAAGCTATTGATAGAGCTAGATTTGCGGTACAGGGTATAGATTCAGTTGAATCGCCAAAATTGAACATCTGTGGGACGGATTAGGAAGAGGGCAAACAGGAGCAATATCAGTGCAAATAATGATGGAAACGACAACAAGCTTAACCTTACATGGCGACCGTCGAGCTTCTGGTCATCGTCTATGGATCTTGCTCCAGGGATCCCAATAACGACGACCGGTTTGAAGATGTCACGGAACAGCGCCGAGTCGAGATCACGCTCAACCCCGTCATCCCGGCCAATCTCGCGACAAGCCTCGAAAAAAAGAGCAATTGGATCATGGACTTCACTAGGAAGATTGGGCAGGATATGAAGCACAACAGGAACTGGCGTTGTGAATTTTGCAGTACGTTTTGGCCCCCCAAACCGTTGTCCATTGATAACAATCCGTTGCAGACATACACGCGCGCGAAACGGTGTGGATGAAGGCATCCTGGATGCATTTGGACCCCCCGCGCATGGTCTGCTATGTACGTCGCTCCCCGTGGCTGAATGTACAATGCACCTTTCTTGCTGTTTAGGTGCATCATCTTTGCGAAACGGCGACGGGCCTTTGCGCCGACAAAATACGCGCCGTCGACGCGGAGATGAGGGCCCAGACCGGACTCCCACCAGCGCCTCTCCCGCAAACCGCCCCGCCAGCGGGCTATGTGTACCCTATGGCCGCGACTTGCGCCGTCTGCAACGAGGAGGCGACCAAATCGCGCAAGAACCTCAAGCAGTGTGCGAAGTGCGGGCTGACCCGGTATTGCAGGTGCGTGTCCGTAGAGATCGCCACCATCGGCTGACTCGGAGCAGTGTCGAATGCCAACATTCTGACTGGAAGCGGCACAAGGAGTGTTGCAAGACGGTCAAGAACGTTGAGTGGCACTGGAAGAAGTGAAAATTCGTTGTGTTATTTTTCAATCAATGGAAACCTTGATCGCCGAACCTGAGAACACAGCCTTCGCTCCCTTTCTTCTTAATACCATCATGACCTCTCTCAGCAAACCGTTGAAGTTCTTTCGTTCTCTGCTCCCTACCGCCGCTGTGACCCCTCTTGCCAAAGACGAGCCCCGCAGAAGACGTCTCGCGAATGATACCATCCGCAAATCACCGAAGATTGTGGACGAATTCAACGCCCGTCCATCGAAGGAATATACCGCTTCGAAGGATTCCACCTTTCACGACAAGCAGCTTCCCGCTCTCGGTCCGCCGAATCGAGTTCATCCCCCCGCGTCGGTGAAAATCATCAATTCGGATGCTTTTTCGGTGGCGAGAATCATCATGAAGGAAGATCCTGCAGCGAAAATTGCCGTGCTCAATCTCGCTAGCGACATCCTCCCTGCCGGGCCGTGGCTCCAGCAAATGACCACCACCCAGGTCGGTAATCTTCTCTTTCTCATCTTGACGTTTTTTTTTCGTTTATTCATATACGACTCTGGGTACGCAGGAGGAGGCTCTCTGCTATTCATCCACACTGTACATCACGCTCGAGCGGCAGAATGCGCACTACCCATGGCCGAACCTCGGCCCAGGCTGTGTCGCCGGCATTTACTCGCCGGGCGTGGTCATCTTCCGCGATGACCTCGACCACGACTGCGCGGACCTGCCGCCTGCCGAGCGGCGCGTCGTGTCGGTTATCACCGTAGCCGCTCCCGCGCGCCCGGCGCTCACACCCGACAAGCAGGCCTTCGAGGATTTAACGACGCTTGAATATCTCCGGGAGAAGATCCGCCTGGTCTACCGCATGGCTGCTCACAACGAGCAGGAGTATCTCGTCCTCGGTGCATCCTTCCATCCTAGCTATCGGTGTAGACAAGCGGCTCATGCATATGCTGCACAGGCGCGATGGGCTGTGGCGCATATGGGTGCCCCTCACAGCTGGTGGCTACCGAGATGCGTGACATCTTACTCGAGGCAGAGTTCCAAGGCTGGTTCAAGCAGGTCATCTTCGCGATATACAGCAGGCGCACGAACGGCCCGGGGAACTTCGGGATCTTTGAGGAGGTGTTCAAGGGGGTGGAAGTAAATAAAATCTAACTGTGCCTCTAACGATGCAAAACGATCCGTCTCTGATCGGTATAGCTCCGAAGGCAGTGTGGGGAATCGTCTAAGATGATTTCAGGTATCAGGGAAAGGGTGCGCAAGTCACGACATCGAGCACATTCGTAAATCTAGGTCTAGTGGCACCGGCGCTCGCTGGTGATGATGTGAGCGGCCTACCGGATATTAATTCAACGCAATAAATCTAACAGAAGAATCGACCTGCCTTCTCTGCAACTGCATAGACAGTAGCTTGTATATGGGCCGAAAGCTGGATGGGAATTATTGACGCGTCAATCTAACATGAATCAGCTTTCTCCTACTTTGGAAGAAAAAAATGTGAGCATACTCACCACGCGAACATTCGCCGTCCCATATACTTTCAGCGACGGATCCACGACTCCGCGGTCTTCCCGCGGCAGCATCGCAGCGGTACCGATGGGGTGGAAGACCGTGTCGATGGTGGAACGAATAAAATCCTTAATTTCGTCGTCGGTCTGAACCGCCGGACCAGGAATGATCTCGCGTGTCACGACAGCGCTTAAACTCGGTGTGGCACAAAGCTTCCGCGCAAACTTCACAGCAGCAACCAGGACGTCGAGATCGATTTTGTTGTCCAGAACACGGTGGTCGATAACTGGGGCAGCGAGTGGGTCGGAGGAGGCGATGTGCACTGACCCACTTGAGAAGGGGTGGGTAAGGGCGAGGAAGACGGAGCAGTAGCTCTTCCCGGTCTCGGGATTGTGACCGGGAATAGGCAGGAATCCCGGGAAGAGACTAATCCTGGAGGACAATAGATAAACAGATGACCAGCGGGAATAGAAATGACACACTCGAGGAACGGGATCTCATCTGCCCCCAACCACGCCTTTTGGATTCGTTCCAGACGGGGATGGAGGGATGTGCGCGTTTCTTCAGCAACTTCATAGTTGATGTCCATGAACTGGCTCTTCGGGAGAAACGCGTAGAGCGAGGAACATGTTCCGCCAAGCATG